TCCTAAAATTTTACCCAACCCAGAATCCCAGATCGAGCTGATATCTTCGTCGGCAAGTGATCGGAGGTAAATCTTCATCTTTTTCTTGCTAATATCTTCGTCTTTGTTTTCCTTGTGCGCTTAAATTGTTTGATAATTAGGAGGGAACGGGTCTGTCTCTGTTTCTGGTTCTAGGCTTTTGAGTTTCGAATCAATATTCGTTAAATCAAAGCTTTTGGGCTGGCCAATAAATCAAAGAATTATTGGGGTTATCGCATTTCATTTGCCTGTGGCTAGCTGCTGTGACGACTAGGAGATGTAGGTCTTTTGTTTGTAATGCTAATATTTCTTGCTTACTGATCGTAATAGTTGCAGCAGCTTGCGCATGATTGTGTGGGTTGGAGGGGAGGGGTTGGGTATCGCAAATGAACTGAGTTTCTGGTCTAGTAGCAAGTTAGAAGAGCATTTCTGTGGAAAGCACTGATATTCCGTCGACTTCTATTGCGATACTTGGGAGCAAGGTTTTCAAAATTGGAATCCTATCTAAAATTGTTTCTGTGTTTGCAGAATCGATCATAAAATCAATAATAGATCCTACACAAAACATAAGAGTACTCATAATAATAATCTAAGGTTTGCAATTCGCATATAGAGCAATAAATAATGTAACTCATGTGCAATCAATATAATAATATCAATTAAAGTTAAAATTGTGCTATCTAAAACATTTGGGGTAGTCTAAAATCAAAACAAAAATTTTGGGAATATATGTAACGTATTGTATTGCCCGTGATCAAACTAAAAATCTTGTTTTTCTAATTTTTAAACCCAAACATAATTGATGGACAAGGCAGTTGGAAAATTTGACTTTATATGTATATAAATCATTTAAGTATTTTATTAATAAGATAATTAAACATCATTTAAGTATTTTATTAATAAGATAATATTTATCGATGACAACATCATTTATTGTATATAATAGGATATCTAAATATTGTATATATAATAAAATATTTCAAGTATGTCTTTGACTTAAAAATTAGAAATAAACAAATAATTGAAGAAAATTATGAGAATAGAAATTTATGACACAACATGTATTTTGGGTTCAAAATTTACTTACCTAGTTGTAACAAAAATAATCAATTCAGTTCCAAAGACTCTTCATCATGCTAATTTACCACAATAAAAGCCCCAGACAATAGCCCTAAATGATAATCTATGAAATGTTATCTTCTTAATCTAATGAAATACATGGGTCAATTTTAAAGGTTTGCCAATTTTTGTGGGTAAGGAATTAGTATGAAAGATTTACATGAACTTAAAACCCTTCAAATATTGTTTCCAACACGATAAATGGCATTCAATTCCAATTTTTTTTACACAAATTTATGGTCAAAATACTAAAACTTTTATCGCAATATTTTTAAATAATATGAGCATATCAGGATCATAGGAGCTTACAATCATACGATCGAAATCAAGATTTTACCAATTTTACTTGTTTAAGGTAAAATTTCAATACTAGTAATGACTCGAATTGATAGCCATGGTCTAGATTGTAAGGTTGTACAATCTTACTATTTGAATCGTTATTTTAACAACTATAATGCTTGGGAGTAATACTCAGCTATTGATGAGTAGTTGTAAAATTTTTTAAAAATGAAATGTTGTAAAATTTTTAAAAGAGAAAAATGAAATAGGTTCAGTAGGTAAGTTCCTTGATTTTTTTGTTAGACGGTAATAGTTAGCCTAACCTACTCGTATTCCTATTCCTACTTATATTCCTACTCTAGCCTACACTGTGGAAAGAGAGACCCAACGAGACATAGACAAACCGATTTGATGATTTAATGAAAATTCACGTCTCTCTTGAATAAATATCTTACATATATATAAAAACACAAGACTTTGCACCACATTGTGCCACATGTTCGAAAGAGAGACCCAACGAGACATAGACAAACCGATTTGATGATTTAATGAAAATTCACGTCTCTCTTGAATAAATATCTTACATATATATAAAAACACAAGACTTTGCACCACATTGTGCCACATGTTCGAAGGAGACTGGGGGATTTTAAAAAATTTGTGTTGAAATTGTGGCGAATGTCAACTAAGCCCTTGAGTTTTGATTACTTTGGCAAATAGTGCTCTACTATTCATGGGCATTTTTGTCTGCCCAAGTGTTAAATGTCCACTAAGCCCTTCAAGGATAAAAGGAGGTCATAATAGTTTCTAACTGCTGGGGGGTACTATTGTAATTTCGAACCATATCTCCCCCTTAGTTGCATTTGTTAGGGTAATAAAGATTTTTCTGGCAACTTTTTGCCGTTGGATCGTGTCTTAATCTAAGATTGATACCTGAGAACCGTTCGATCATTCCTAATGATGATTAAAGGATTGATTGTTTTCCTTACCTGGAGAGTTTGCACGAACTGATGATTGTTATCTTCCTTCTCCCGTCTCTCCTCTTTTTTGGGTAAGTCTCCCGTCTCTTCTTTCTCTGGCTTCTTTGTTTCTTCTTTCCTTTCTCTTCCTTTTTTATGCTTGACAATCACTGCAATTTCTTTCTTATTTTCACTGTAGATTTTTTCCTTTTATCAGGTATTTGTACTTGCAGACATGAAACCCACAAATTTTTCCATAGATTAGGTGTACACTTTTACCCTAAAATTCAGGGATTTTTTTGTTCAAAAAATGGTCCCTCGTCTGATTCACTAAGCCCGTATGAACCCTTATTTCTCAACCTTCTGATCTTTGTCAACAATTTCTGACTCTAAATTTTACTCTCTCGGCTTGTATTTGATGGCTGCTTAGTAAGAGGGAAGTAGAATCAGTATTAAAAACCGGAGGAACAGAAAAGGGCACTTGAGGTTAGAGGCTTTATAGGATATACATCTTATTTCATTTTCTCATAGGTGAAAAGAAAAATAGAGAGGTTTCTTGCCTTTTGGTGTATTCCTCTATGGTAAAGAAAAATTTAAAACTTGTTTGCCTTTTTCCTCTTCGCATAGCAGACACACGAATGCTACACAATTAGTCTTTTTTTTTTTTTGGTATTTTCAGCTTTTTTTGGAAAGTGGAAAGTCCTCGCAAGTGGTTTGGTGCCTTTTGTTCCTTTGCATCCTGGTAAATACATTTCTTGCCATTCTTTTTTTCTTTATTTTTTTGCACCACGGACATATATACTGATCAGTAATTTTTTTTTTTTGTAATTTTCAGTTTTGGTCCGAAAATAGAAAAGGTTCTGCAGTAAAATTTCTGTTCATACCAGGTTAGTTTACCTCTGATTTGTATCATTAATTTGCTGAAATTTTTGTTAATATTATATGGGCTGATATTTTAAATATTTTAATATTAGTGTTATGTGCCTATATGTTTGGCTATTTACTCTTATGATAAGTTTTTGCTTATGCTTCTTAAGAAGATATAGCTGCGCTTTACTGGTTTTATGTGGTATTTTAAGGCATCGAAATATTAATAAAGTATATTTTAAAAAACATTCTTATTGGCCAAAAAATTAGTGATTTTCCACCCCAATTTATGCTTGGCCTTAAAATTTACCTTCTATGTACACTATCTCATCTCCCAACCATGCAATTCTTTTTTTGCCCAGAAAAAGGAGAGAATCAAAGAGGGGAAAGCACTATACATCTCCCCTCCCCACCCCTATTTGCCTTCCTAGCCAAAAACACGAAGAAAAACTCACACTTTCGCATCAATTTTCAGCCATTTGATGAATTTATTGTTGAGTTTTTCTAGCCTTTTTTTTTCCCAAATTGACCTCCTAGCAGAAATGTTTGCTTTTTTTATTATTGATTGTTTTGTAAGTTTGAAAGAATCAAGAAGAAGCACAGCAAAGTAAACATCCAGTGTTTAAGGTGTGTGATCATCTTTTACAATAGTAGCATGCTTTGTGTTTGATGATTTGCTTCTAAAGGTAGCTTTACCACTATACTGGTTAAGTTTTCTGAAAATTTACGTGTCCCATTGTTATGGAGTATTAAATGATTTGAGAGATGTTCTTTAGCTTACTGTTTGGTCCTAATAAAAAATGATTTTACTTTTGCCTTTGTGTTTGTATGCTGAATGATCCTTTAATGTCTTGCAATGGCTCGAACTATCTTTAAATTCCATTGGAAACAATACTTTGATAGACCTAGAAACATTAATTTCATCGATTGTTTTTGACTTTTACTGCATTGTCATGTTAGTGACTATCATAGTTAGGACCAAAGACCAGTTATAGAGTATTTCCCCAGCTTCTACTGTCTTGGTTCTAATTTTCCACATGTTTTGGGGCTCAACGAGTAGAATCTGCACACAAATCATGATTTGTTTGATATAATTTGGTTTCTGCTTAAATTTTGGTTTTAGGAACTGGTCATACACTGATTAATTCCTGGCACAGATAAGCTCTTCTGAGTTCCATACCTTGGTTCATTGAAAGGGGATTGTTCATGGACGGATCCTAACTTGGGGGGACAAAGACTTTTAACATACCTGAGTCTTCAATTATTTTGCAGCTTCCTTGTTATATTAGTTTCTCTGGTTTTGCACATGGACATGGACATTGCTTTAATTACCCTACTGCTATAATAGTTTGCACATGGACATGGTTTCTCAACATGACGACAATTAAATATTCCATGTTCTATTAATTTTAAAAATGGGAGTTATGGGGAATTTTTCAATATTTTTTACACAACAAATTGGGCATTGCACAGCCAGAAAATTTCTAGTTTTTTAAAAAATGACCAATCCAAACGCGGAAGGTGGCTCATGATTTTGGGATACGAGAAATGCCCATTCTGATGATGGGGGAGCTAACTCTAATTTTCAAAACTACAGGGAAGCACTTCTGAGACCGTCATATTTTAAAGGGGTTCAGTGTAATTAACCCATCGCGAAGTTTTGGCAGAGCAGGAGACCCGCCAAATTGCCACCATCCGAACATTCCACTGCTAGGGTTCTGCTGCTGCTGATGCGACGGTCCTTCTGATCAGGTCAACAATTTCCAGTATTCTGGTCCTTAATTAGGACTGTTAGTTTCATTGATTGATCGAAATATGCATTCCAAACTGACTAAAAATGCAATCTTTGAAGCTGACAACTCACTTGAAGTCTCTCTTAGAGAAGCTGAAAAGCTTCTGGAGCCCCAACTCAGACCCCCTTTTCCTTTAAAACTTCAAACTCAAGAAGAGTACTTCAACCTGAACAAAGCAATTCTTTGTGGAATTTTATGTGAACCCCAAATGGCCAGAGTCCACATTAAGCACTTACATGCTATTGTCACTGATGGCTACACTTATTTTATATCCATGCTTATCAAGATTGTTAATGAGTTGTATGCCAAACTCGTTGATTCGGTGAAAACTCAGTTGATTTGGGTGACGCGTGAAATGGTGAATGTGTTGGGAGTAGGATTTGATGGTTTATTGGTGGCCCTTTTGAGGCAAATTGTTGGTGGTGACTTTAGCGAAGGAAATTTGTGGTTGTGTTTTGAGATGATTAGTCTCTTTAGGGACAAATGGGATTGTTTGTTGGAGGATGAACCTCTAGTTTTGACCAGTGCTTTATATGTGTTTCTTCGTTTATTGGCTGATCATTGTAGGTTGCCAAATGACTCAAAAGTTGAAACCTTGAAGAGGTTTGAAATTGATTTTTGCATTAGGATGTTAAGGGAGAAATTTGGTTTGTGTTTGAAGATTGGAAGAGATCTTGTTCGGATTTTACAGGACTTGGTTCATGTACCTGAGTTTCGCTCAATTTGGAAAGACTTGTTATTGAACCCTAGTGTGTTTCAGAATGCTGCATTTTTAGATATCTCACAGCTCTACCTTTCAAGGACTTCCAGTAGGTATTTTCTGCTGCGGATAACTCCTGAGATGGAGAACCAGTTGAGGTTCTTGCTAACGCATGTTAAATTGGGAAATCAAAAGAGGTACCAAGTTTGGTTTGCAAAGAAGTTTCTTGGTGTCCCTGAGAGGGAGACTCTTCTAACTGACATTGTTAGGTTTATTTGCTGCGGACATCATCCACCTAATGAGATTATCCAGTCAGACATCATCCCGAGGTGGGCTGTCATAGGCTGGTTGCTAAAATCTTCCCAGAGGAATTATGTCGAAGCAAATGTTAAGCTTGCCTTATTCTATGATTGGCTTTTCTTTGATGAGAAGGTAGATAATATAATGAACATTGAGCCTGGGATATTGCTAATGATACATTCCATTCCTAGTTATGTTGACATAACTCATACTCTTCTAGAATTTCTCTTGATGCTGGTGGAAAACTATGACATTGAAAGAAAAGATGTAATTGTCAAAGGGATATCTTCAGCTTTCACTTTTCTTGTTCGAAAAGGTGTGGTTCGATCTCTTGATGCTTTGACTTGTTCTGATGTGATCTCTCCTTTTCTCAAGCAATTGTTTGGAAAAATCTTCAAAGACATGTTAGCAAGCCTTTCTGAGAGGGCAGTTGCCAAGTCTTCCTCTTAAACCAATTTCTGCCCCACCTAAGTTAAGTGTTTTCCTTTACTACATCTACTAATTCATTTGGTGCTAGCTATTCTTGTAGGACAATATGGAACCTTGCAGTTAGGATAAGGTTCGAGTCAATATTGAGCCTTGTGGCACTTACATCTGTAAGGAAAATAGAAAAGAAAGAAAAAAGTTTACCAGAAAGAGAATCGGATGCTTTAATGTTTAAAAGGTGGATAAATCGTTTGTCCAGATAATTGAGTGTTCGTCCTTGGCAATCAAATGTGGGAAAAGAACTAAGTAGAATGAACTTTGCTCATGGTGAATGTGTAGGGGTAAAGCTTCCTTCCAGTATTTTATTAAGTTGTGACAGAATATCATTAGACTTATGTTTTGTGTAGGCTGCCTTGAACCTACAATTTTAGTGGTTGGATGGTCTCCCCTCTACTAGTCCACTAATGTCCTTTTGTGGTCAAAACTTTGTTTTGGGCTTATGTCCGGGACAACCATCTGCTGATTCTGACACAGTAATGATCATTGCAAAGGTCAGTCTTTAGGCTCAAGCATTACACATATGATTCAAATTTGAATGATGTATCTTGAATCTATCTGTGGGGCTGGATAAGCAATTAGGGTTTAGTCTTAGTCCTATTGATTTTTACAAAGATTTCCCTGTCTTGATATGGTCATTTGTGGATGATGGAAGCTTGAAGTTGCTTCTCATTCCCCGCTGTCAATAGAGGCTATAGAACTTTTCTGTCACTGGAATACTTGACAACTTTTCGTACATTTGGTTTTGCATTTCATTTCTCTATTGAAAGCTTGTTAAATCTTTTAAACTAAGATTCTCTTTTGAACATTCAGGTTTCTCCTTGGAGCTAGTGAGGTTTGTGCAAATCCATACACCTCTCAATTGAATATTTTAAGGGAATGGACTCTAGATATGCTGGAGAAATGCTAAGGTAATTCCTGCTAAAAGCTTGATGGTTTTTTATCACAAAGCATACTAAATCACTCACAAACTAATAAAAAGTTGTCTCTCCTTGTTATTAGAGTTTGTGTTGCACAGGTTTATTGGCTCAATGATATACTGTCTAATTCAATTTTTCTGTAGGCATTTGGATAAGCAGAATGAGCTCCTTGCTGATGCCCACAGGTCAATGCTGCATGAACTGCATAAACTCCAGGTCTACCTTTTTCATCTTGATCTCCGTTTTGTGGTTTCTTATGTTAATGCACGAGAGTTTTCAAACTTTTTGATGACTACTGTAGGAATCTTTTCTATGTCCTTTTTCCTTCTTAGACAGGGTCTGAATTAATTAAATTAAGAAGGGTTAGCGCAATAGCTGTATTTATCAAATAAAGAAGGGAAGGCTTCTAAAATGAAGGATATCTATGTTGTATATGTGGATTTTTATGCCTTTTAGTATAATATTTGGATTGCTATTACCTCAGCCATGCCCCCTTGGCTTGGATGAGCATGGGCCGGGGTGGGGGCGGGGGAGGAAGGAAAAGAGCAAAGAACGATTGTGACCATGGACCATAGTTAAATTGGTCCATGAAAGATCTCATACACGCTTCCTCCGAAATGTATGGACCATTACAGCTCAAACATGAATTGGATCTATCATCTTCAAAATTATTTCTACTTATGTTATTTCACTAAAATTTTAATTTGCTAGTGGAATGCTGATTTAGCTCCCTGGTTTGAAAATAATTTGAGATGCTAAATGATGATGTTCATTGTAGGTAGAGGAAGAAATGCTGATGCGCAAGTTCTATGAGTTCATGTCAGCTCAAGGCCTCACTAGAAGGGTATATTCATTATCTTGCCTTTGCATCTCAATACTGTAGTTCTGCACTTTTTATACAGTTGTATTTTGTTAGCCTATTTGAATGGTTTTTGTCGTCGTCGTCTGATTCAAGTGTTTAGTGATTTTTTGAATTGCATACGTAGTCACAGTGCTTAGATTTCTCGTTAAAGAAGCAAAAATTTTATGTTGATTTTTTGCATTTTCTTGGTCTTAACCCTCATACCCTTAAATGAAATGTTGGCATATCTGAATCAAGCTAGTAGGTAACAAATATGCCTTTACCGGGTGGATGATCCAAATTTGCTTCTTATTTAGTAATCTTGGAAGGATTAGAACTAGTGTTTGTTTTCCTCCCATTATTAGTGCTAAATGAAGTGTCACCCAAACAAAGATTGTTGTGATGGGACAAATAAAGCCTGTAATATATGGACTCTGCTTCTCCATAGGAGAGACACTCAAGGTGAATTTGCTTGCTACCTACCTGTTTTTGTGATCTGATGGGTCTTCTCTATGTAGGGATGTCTGAGTGTGTGAAACATATTACGATTAAAAGTTTTTTTAAAATAGTCATTATCAAAATATAGGGATTGCCCCTGGGAAAAAAGCATTTATACACCTATTTTTGGTGAGGCTTCAAGTGGAGGATCTTTTACTGTTGTTAATCTATAGTTGATGCACGAAGCTTAAATGCTATATATATCTTCCAACTATTTTAGTCTTGGAATTTATGCACTTTGTGCTTCTCGCTGGAGAAAATTTATGCAATTTTGTCCCCCTGGCTTTACATTTTCAATCTCTCTCATTTTTTTAATGCCAATCAATTATACAGAAAAATGTTCTCGTATTTGGGAATAATATGTTCCTACACCTTCACATTTGAGTTGGCTCCTTGACTTTCTTATGGCCAAGCATGCAAACAGTGAATGATGCAATTCATTCAAGTAGGGCAGTAACAAATGCGAGAACATGGTGACATGCACAATCATAGTTAGTCATTTTGCATTTGATAAGAGATCGATCCTCCCCCCTTAACTAATAAAAACAAAGATGATGGACTCATGCAAGTGCACGTCTTACTTAAAATGTTAAACTGTTGTAGTTTGTGTACAGAATAAAGTACGCAACTTGATTGGAAGGAAAAGGTTTGTTAACATAAGATATGAATTGATTAAGTTTGTTTGGTAACTTTTATTCATTAAACCCCATTTATCGCTTAATTGTTGTTGATAAACTTCGAATACCCTATATGATTGTTAGTTTGGCTACCGCATTTAGTTTTCTTTTGCTTTCTTTTGCAGAATGAAGATGGTAATGACATGCAAAGAGATTGCAATAACGGTCATGGCAAAACACTTGTTCAAGTGATTGCTGACAAATAGAAAGTTTCATAATTGGCGAGTTGGTATGGGACAAGCGTGCGTGTGACAGTACATGGGAATTGGGAAAGCTCTCTTAAGGTATTATACATTGATAGGAAAATTCAGATAATTTTGCCCTTTATTTTGGTCATCTAATGTATATGGCTTAGGGGTTAACCTGTTATATAGGTTGGATGTAATGATTGGCATGAGCTCATTCATGAGGAAAAGTGTGAGCAGTGCCAACACAGTTCTGTGTATCTTTGATGTTAGGGGTGCATAATTTTGTGAAGCAAAGTGTGTATGCGGCATATTTTGATTCCTCAAATGCTACAAAGATACATTTTCACCCTTGGATTAGTGGAGAAGATATTTGATTCTTGTCATGAAATGGCTCTCTCTGTAGTTATGTACACCATTCAGAATTAGGTAGTACATGTCATACATATATATGAAGCTAGGTCAAAAATATTGAAAGATGAGTAAGAGCTCAATTTTGTCTAAAAGGAGAAGCTAGGTAGGGGCGGGGGCAATAAAATTTTGGTAAAATCTTGATCTGGCCAAAGGACTTTTGCTTAAAATTTTCAAAATTTTTTCAGGGCTAAAAGAAAGATTTTGGAATTTGGGGTTGATTGCCCCTGGTCCCATTATTGGCTCCGCCACGGCGTGATGGAGGAACTTGCCCCAACTTCACCACCTTTTCTTTTGTTTTCGGAAGATTAATGTGTCTTTTGTGATTGTGCACTTGTTTAAGCTTAAATCAAAGTAACAGCCGAAGACGTGTCTGGTTTTTCATTGTTATTGTATCGGTAAATTTAGGGGTGGGCACGAATTGGATACTCGCATTGTGCATCATTTGGTTGATTCGTCTTATACTTCGCGCATTAGTCATTTTCTATCCTTGGATCCTTATATATTAGCAGGTATTCGGTTATTAGATTAGATACCTACTAATAGAGGGTTGGATCACCGGTTATTCGTTTCGTCTCGCTCATCATTTATTATTTAAAATGATTTATATTAATTTAATTTTGTATTTTACGTATTTGTCTAAAACTCAAAAAAAAAAATTTCCCAAATAAAGTCTCTAGCCAAGAAATAAACATGCAAAGATAATACAAAAAAAAGGAAAAAGTCAAAAGAATTCAAAATCAATGGAAATTTGAAATAAGTAGTGCCTTTTTTTAAATACATATTTCATATCAAAACAAAATCTTTTTTTTTTAAATATAAGATCATAACCTCTACAAATGAATCTTGTAAACAAATTATAATCTCTCAAATTTGTAGTATAATTTGTTCAATAAAATTATTTACGTAGTTCTAAAAATATTTATTGTGTTTGGATAGAGTATTATTTGAAATATTATTTGGAATAATTACTGTAACACTTTTTGTGTTGCGATGTATATGAGATAAAAAAAAATGAATTAGAAAATATATTTAGATGAAATAATTCATCGATCCAAAAGCTTTTGCATGCTTTCATAAGAGCATCAGATGGTCTTAAATAATTTCGTCCTTTGAATTGGGAAAGCTTTTCCAAATTGGTCTTAAATAATTTTTTTAATATAAGTCAATAATTGTCAAGTAACTATAGAATGACGTAACCATAAAATGAGGAAAATCAACAGGGATATAAGTTTCCCTGCCTTAGTGATATAATGATAAAGGTGCACAATTTTAATGATTTCACCTAAATGCACGCTTTTCTAATTGATGAAACTACTTAAGTTGGTCTGGTTTCAAGTCACAGAAAACTAGAAAAAGCACTTACACAAGTTACAATTGGAAGGACCTATACGCTATGCTTAATTTTCTCCTTTTTTCTGTCAAATCCATTCATATTTAGTAACGTATAAATGACTTTTCTTGATATTCTGCTTTTTCGGTTATATCCCTTCTTTCATATTTGGCAACTAAAAATTTATTGATTACAACGAAAGAGTGTTTGATTTTCCAAGTTGAAACAAGTTTCTTCCTTAAAAAAAAAAACAACAATTTCTTTTAAGGTGAAAATGACTAGATTGCTGCTTTTAGTGCTACTGTGGGAGGCTTGGATTGACGTAGTAAAATTAGGACTTGTTTGGATAGTCATTTTCCACTAAAAAATGGTCTTGTTTTTCGTGAACACATTTTCCTATTATCTTTTTTACCTCACATACATTAAATCGCTACAGTAATTTTCCAATTGAAAAATCCATGAAAAATGCAATCCAAACACACTCTTAGATTTTGAACTGTTTTAGAGGACTTAAATGAAATTAAGCCTTTTTTTTTTAATTCAGGGAATCATCTCTCTAAGTTCCATACTGTAAATTGTTTATCCATTTGGCTGAAATGAAGTTCGATTGACCAATAGATGATTAAAACATTTGCTTTGCAACCCAGTAATTTACTTCACGAGTCATGACATGTCTGACCATGGATTTGTTTGGATTGTAAGTTATTTGAGATATTTTTACTGTAACACTTTTTGTGATGTGATGTATGTGAGATAAAAAGATAATTGGAAAGGTAAAAAGGTGTGTTGGAAATTGTAATGATGATGTAAGCAAATATATTTGGGGAAATAAAGGCCAATCCAAACAAATGATGGGGAAGCAGACGTTACAAAATAGGCTTTTGTTAGGGGAAGCAGATGGCAAGATCTGGACGTCTCGACTCAAAGAATGTCTTCGTCTTGGTGTAAATGTTCTGTCCTGGATCCAAAATCCAAAAACCCCATGATGGGTTTTTTTTTTTTTGTTTTCTATTGATAAAGCGGTGAAGAAAATGTTCTTTGAGTAAGGCCTAGGACTGCCCGGGCCGAAATGACCAATTGGCGCCGTCTGTGGGAATGCGAAGACATTAGGATATGAAACCTACGCGTTCTAAGAGCAGGAAAGCTCTCACTATGAATTATTGCAGAAGATATTGCAGAAGGGCAGGGGTCCCCAACTTCTAAGCCTCGGGAAGTAGCGACCTCGGCAAATACCGATCTCGTCCTTCTCGAAGCTTGGGGGGCTTAGTGAGAATGGTCATTTCGGCCCGGACAGTCCTAGGCCTTACTCAGTGGTACCTCCCGCAGGGCCACTTAGGCCTTACTCAGTGGCGCCTCCTGCAGGGCCACCTCGGCCTTACTCAGTGGCAGGCCTTAATCAGTGGCACCTCCCGCAGGGCCACTTAGGCCTTACTCAGCGGTACCTCCCGAAGGGTCACCTCGGCTTTACTCAGTGGCGCCTCCTGCAGGGCCACCTCGGCCTTACTCAGTGGCAGGCCTTCCTCAGTGACATCTCCCGAAGGGCCACCTCGGCCTTACTCAGTGGCGCCTCCTGCAGGGCCACCTCGGCCTTACTCAGTGGCAGGCTTTCCTCAGTGACACCTCCCGAAGGGCCACCTCGGCCTTACTCAGTGGCACCTCCCGCAGGGCCACTTAGGCCTTACTCAGCGGTACCTCCCGAAGGGCACCTCCTGCAGGGCCACCTCGGCCTTACTCAGTGGCGCCTCCTGCAGGCGGCCTTACTCAGTGGCAGGCCTTCCTCAGTGGCACCTCCCGAAGGGCCACCTCGGCCCATTATAAATCAAGGTGGTATCTGTCCGTTTTACCACCTCGGCTATTGTCCTCAGGTCGTTAGCCGAGGTGACGCCTGACTGACACAACTGCGAAAGGTAGGAAATGACACCTGACACATCTGACACGCTTGGCATCTGATGGACAGCCGCTCTGACACGCGCCATCTGAACCTGGCACCTGTCGCCTCAGGCCTTTTCACAGAGACCAGTCAAATCCGTCTAATACGCCGGTCAGCCCAGATCCTTAGGGACTCGCGATGTCAGTCCCTCTCTCCAACCAATCCCCTATAAATACCCAGAGTATCGATCAAAAGGGGGAGGACCATTTTCTGGTAACATTAGCCATATTGCTCTCCAGCATATTGCTCTTTAAAATACCAAACTAACTTAAGTTTCGGAGTTACACCGGGGGATTCAGCGCCTCTTGTAACCTTAGCAGGTGACTTCGCCGCAGTGACTCATCCGAGATAGGAACTTCCCTCAATCCGGAGGACTCACCTCAGCCGGTCAGAAATCACCTCTTCAATTGACTCATCACAGGTGACCTCGTCACAGTGACCAGTCTCAAGGAGGAGGTATTCTCAGTCCGGGAAATTCACTTCATCCGGTCAGAATTTACCTCTTCATTCTTCTTCCATGGTATTTGTCTAGTAGCAACTACCAAAGGAAGTTGCACATGCCAAGTATGGAGATGTCAAATTATATAATGCAGTTGAAGTTTGACAAAAAAAAAAAAAAAAAAAGTATGGAGATGTCAAGTATTACGCCCACCTGTTTCAATGTTTGGTCGCTTATAAGTGGTATCGGTCCAGTTCCAAGTAACAAAAAATCGATCAAGATCAGTCAAATTCATAAAAATTAATAAAACCCGTTGAACCGGTGGTTCTCAGTTTTCATGTTTTTAGTTTCTTTTTTGTTTAGCAAAAACAGAACCCCTTTTGCTAGCAAGTCTAACACACTAACCATTCCACTAATGCTTTGCTTATTGATTAATTTGCCAAAACAATTAATTACTTTTAAATAGTTTACTAAAACAAGAAAAAACAAAACTCCATTAACCCCGATACATCAGCTGCCACTTCAATCTTTTCCCACTTTCTCTCCAATCTCAGTTCTCACTCTGTGTTCTCTTCATCGGATCATAATTTTCATGGCTAATAGATTGATTCTCTAATATAACTCTCATCCTCATTTCACTATATCTTCTTTCAAATCTCAAATCTTTAATCTCCACTCTATTTTTCTCTGTCTCTTTGTTCTTTGTGGTATGAAAAGGCCGTCTATCAAATATGATAAGATGGAGGCGTAGCCCATATCAACGATAAGATGCAATAATAATATGTCACCTTCAAAATTTCTAACGCCTGGCAAGTTTAGGAGTCTAGGATAGAAAAGAAAAGGAGAGAAATCAGCCCAAAAATGGGCAGACAAATTTTCTCCACTCCTCTGTAGCATCAGCCCATTTTCCTTCTTTTCTGATTTCAATAAACTCCCAGAACGATGAAAAATTGATTTCCTGTGTAATTTTCTTTTCTTTTCTTTTTCTAGCAAAATCTCTCCTCAAAAAAGCGCCGGCAACAAGTATTCCAATCTTCGAGAATTTTGAGAGTGATGCGTATACGAATTGTATGACATACATTGACCAACTTATTAGAACTTGATAAGAATTCAGAGTCGCAGCAGCAGTCTTGTTAGAACTTTGTGTGCACTTCAAGCAAAATATACAAGTCAAGAAAAGTGCGCATTGTTCTACCGAACAATACCAACAACAAGCTCGCTCCCTCCGTGGTCCTTTTCAGGTCATCAGCAATTTCACTAAACCCTCTCTTAATCCTTAGATCATCAACTTGACATATCTCCGACCAAAGGAAAAATATTGGTTTGATTACAAGTTGGAGAGTTGATCCAAATACTGGTATATAATTTTCTTTATCCTATTGTATGTTTTTTTTTTTTTTTTTCCCCTTCATGCAAAATTGCAAATCCAAATTCTAGGGTAGGAGTTGGAGTTTGATCCAAATATGTAACTTCTTTTTTTTTCCCCCACCTTTATGTAAATCCTAAGCCCAGGTCCATTAATTTGTTGAGTTAGAATTCTATAATTACAATACTACGCAACCGATCATGCAAAGTCTTTGGAGTAAAAATTCTATATGGTTTCAACCTCGCCAAATTAAAAGGAGAAGTTTGTCGTGGAAACAGATAACAAGATCGTAACGCAGAATCTTTAATAACGTAAGAAGGAAATTTGAGAAAGAAATGAAATGATGACAAGCATTTGTGACTTGAATGATGCTCTTGTGCCATGCTTACATGATTATTCTAGCCCAATTTTAGCCGGAAAAGAAACCCCAAAAAAAGTTGACAAATTTACTGCATTCACTGCCTCCCACTCCATTCTTGACCTTGGACCCTATGTGTTGAAGAT